GGGCTCTGACTCTTCTCCTCTAGCAGCCATCAGTCCCCAATATCTTCTCAGCTGAGGGATGGAGCACCCCATTTCCCTCCTCCATTCCAGGATGTTGTGTGGCTTGATGCTGTGCAGGTTTCAAAGATGCAGCCACAACATTCCCATGTTCATATGTGAAGCTGCCCTCTTGTGTCTCACTACTCATCCACTGCCTGTGACCAGTGCAGTCTTCCCATCTGTGGTGACCCCTGAGCCTTGGGGCGGGAGCTGTGGTACAGAGATGCCAGATAGAGCCGAGCAGTTCATGATCTCTTACTCTCTGCATGTCTGCCAGTTGCAAGTCTCTGTGCTATTGCCATTCTGATGAAAGTAGAGAAATGCATTCATTCATAAGTATAGAATGAAAGAGCCTAGGGAGCAGTTTATGCTACATCCATTTAGCAGAGCGATGGTACTGGATTCTCCCCTAGAGCTAGGACCTAGCCAACCATAGGTATTTGGCACAGTTTAATGGTACCACACATGAATTCTGCCTTGTTGTTCATGTACTAGGAGGCATATCTTGCCGGGTCAGTCACTGTAGGTTGCAGTGTTCATTGCTATGTAAGATGGTTAGTTGTTTTTCTCCAATAGCATCATGCCTAGCTAACCAGTCAAGATGACGCTTCCAGGTCTGTACCAAGTTCTGGAGGATAGCCAGGAGAATTGGTGATAGCCTGTAATGGTTTCTACAGGACTCCACTGACCACTAGCTACAAAAGACGCATCCATCCCTAGCACCAGGCTTTCCCCTGATAGCCTATGGTGTCTAGGAGAGGTACTGTTGCCTATCCTCTCATTAGAGAGTAATTCCATTTAAACTCCAAAGTATGCGTACACTTTAGGCAGCGCCTACAGTGGTGTGTCTCCATGTGGTTTTTCCAGGTATTCAGTGTTGCTTATCCCTCCCGGATAAGCCACAAGTGTCTTAACTTTGGACATTATTTGGCAGTTTAGGCTCTTTCCGTTTCCTTTTTTATACGAGCTTTACATGACTGACTTTAACATTTTCTGGTAGATTGTTTTTCCTCTATTAATGTCTCAGGAATGGAGTTCTTAAGGTAGGAAACAGGACAACTCTTTGACTCCGTTTGAAGTGGGTGGCACCGACGTGGGGAGTAACCCCTTTGTGTTCCTGTGGCCCGTAGGTGACTGAGGAGACCAGCCTCGTCCTGCAGACGCTTGGCTACACGTGCACATGCCGTGGCATCATCAACGTGAAGGGGAAGGGGGATCTGAAGACATACTTCGTCAACACAGAGATGTCAAGGTCCCTTTCTCAGAGCAACTTGGCGTCCTGAGAATCTGCCCCTTCCTGGCAAGGAGAGCGTACTTGCAGGAGCGAACCACGCACTTTCTGACTGCAGCCTCCTTTGTGTCCGTCATGTTGATGTCCGTGCTCTGTCCCACCCTCTGGAGCCCTTGCAGAACTAGTTCCTGTGACCCAGTGGCGTACTGTTTGGTGTCTGCGTGCGCCCAGATTGTCCTGCCGCTTGCACTGTGCTTACTCCTAAGCAAAAGGAGAAGGGAGCGCGTCCTAGGAGAGCATTCAAAGAAGTGTTGAAGAGAGAGGCGAAATGAACACAAATTCTTAAGGCAATAAAACTGGGGGGTGTATCTTATCTTCCGGTGCATGCTCTTGTCTGGAAACTACGGTAGCTCGTAACTGCATCCCTAGTCTGATATTCAAACCCACAGTATTTGTGAATTAAGTTGATCCTGTCACCCACCATGGAGTCTGTGCTCACCCATCCACGTGTGTCATTGCCAGAGGTCATCCGTGGGCCTCAGCTGGAACTCGTGGCCCTTGTCACCCTGCTCTGTTGTCTTGTGGAAGCGGCCTATTGCCGTCCATCAGCAGAATGAGTCCTCAACAGCCTAGGACCAGTTTTGTACCAGACTCGTCGGAGGTTTTGATGCCATTTGTCTTTTGTAAGGTTAATTCATTAAAGATTTATGTACTTTGGTTTATAGTGCTGTATCCTTTCTTTCCTTTCCTCTTTTTCCTTCTCCTGTGATGTGGTCCAGAATGAAAGTTTGTTTTCCATCTCTCAGCCTTTCAGAAGCGGCCTGGAAGCTAGGACGGAGGCAGACCCTTGCGTGATGGAGATGGCAACACAGTTTGTGATGCAGGGGATTGTGAAATGGTTTTCTGGGAGGAAAGAATCTGTGCCTGGTGTATCTGATGGCCGGGTTTCAATTATGCTGTCTTTTGAAGACCATTTAAACAGTAAAAAGTCAATGGACGGTAGGGTGCAGGCCTTTAATCCCAGCACTTGGGAGGCAGAGGCAGGTGTAACTTTGTGAGTTTGAGGCCAGCCTTGTCTACAAGAGCTAGTTCCAGGACAGGCTCCAAAGCCACAGAGAAACCCTGTCTTGAAAAACCAAAATAATAATAATAATAATAATAATAATAATAATAATAATAATAATAATCAAACATTAAAAGTCAGCACAAGCCTCGGAGCCCTGTATGCCCACTGACCTTCTGTAGGGAAATACCTTGCCAGGGCTTGCAGAGTTAAACAGAAGCATTCGGGACCAGCTGTGTAAATCAGGTGCCACAATAGCCTGAGCGGGCTGAGAGGCTTTGCTGAGCTTACAAGCTGCCTGTGCTGTCTGAGGAGGCTTAAGAAGACCTGGACACAATGTCTGCAGCAAATCCAACTCTGAAGCTGCTTGGGCTTGGCTATTTTTTTTCTTTTAACATAAGGAAATTACACTTTGCCAAATGAAAGAGAGAAAGAGAGAGAGAGAGAGAGAGAGAGAGAGAGAGAGAGAGAGAGCAACTGTGCATTTAAAAAATGTTTAAAAGAAGAAAAACACTGCAGATAACAGGCTGATTAGGCAAACTTGGTTTCCTCTGTCAGTTCCGAGCAGACGTCTAGAGGCGGCGGAGGGCTCAGATGGGCTAGCAGGAGACTATTAGTGGATACCTAGATGTGAAGCACAAGCCTCCAGTCCAACCCCTGTTCTCTTTGGCTCCTTAGTGCCCTTCCCGGAGGCAGCAGTCCTCACATCTCCTCTGCCTTCCTTTCTTCTTTATCAGCACACAGATGCAGGAAGCAGCATCAAACAGTGGTGGGGACTTGATAAGCGGACTCTCCAGGCTAGGGACATGGCTCAGCAGTCGCCGCCACTCACTGCTCCTGGAGAGCCCTCAAGTTCACTTTCCAGCGTCCATGTCCGGTGCTTACAGCTGCCTGTAGGTTCAGCATCAGGAGATGTGACATGCTCTTCTGTCCTCAGCAGGCACCAGCTGCTGTGCACATAACCACACACAGACATACACACATGCTCGTAATTTAATAGAAATCTTTTTTTAAAATGTCTTTCCTTAAGATGTCTATAACTGGCATTCATATATTGGCTATAAATGTAGGGAAGCCAACAGAAATCCATTTAATTTTCCTTTACTACCTACTAAATGTGAGGTCTCTTGAAACCTCGATGGTTTCCATCCCTTTTTAAAAACAAGCAGCAAGCTGGGTGGGGTTGCATACTCCCTCGACCCCAGCACTTGAGAGAGGGAAGCATGTGAATCGGAAGCTCAAGGCCGCCTTCATCCTCACCAGAACCTCATCTTCAGATTCAACGCCAGCCTGAGCCCTATGAGACCCATCTCTAGTTCTAGAAAGGAAGGTAGAAGGGGAGGGAGGGAGGGGGAGGGAGGGAGGGAAGGAGGGAGGGAGGGAGGGAGGGAGGGAGGGAGGGAGACAAGAAGGAAGACAGGAAGGAAGGAAGACAGGAAGGAAGGAAGACAGGAAGGAATACAGGAATACAGGAAGGAATACAGGAAGACAGAAGAAAAAAGCAAACAGTAGATTCGGGGTGTAGGAGCCACCCTGAAGTAATGAAAATAATTTAGATTGACACTGATTTATTTCATATACTTATAGGTTCTAGTTATAAGAATAAATGAAGAAAAGGTACTTCACACAAATTTCTATAACCCAGGTTTTTGTGGTTTTTTATTTTGTTACAACTCTGCTATAATGTGTCCAAGGGCACCTCACATGTGCTATTTTACTGTTTGTTCGGGAGGAAAAGAGCAACAGCACTGACAAAATTTTCAGAAGATAAATATTTAGGAGTTACTCAGCCTTGAAATTGCCAGCAATTCAGGATCATGTATCCTTAGAGAAATCACCTTGCAGTTCAAAACAACGAAACCAGTGATCGTGTACCAAGATTAATTAAATCACCTGCCCATTAACTGTGAAAAATTCAATCAGGGAAGATGAGAGATGATGGCTTCGGAAAGATCCATTCGTTAAAAATATATCTTTGCACACGAGTGTGCGTCAAGTTCTCTTGCAAAATAAACACTTCCAACATAGGTTAAAAATCAGCTGCTTCCAAAAGAGGAAAGGACCCGAGATGAACACCTCGGGCTGGAGGTGGAGCTCAGGGGCACAGTGTGCAAGCCCTGGCTTCAGTCCTCGGCATCAGTAGCAACGACCCAGGAATGCATCATTTCAGGGTTCAGGACTGGGCACACTGCACATGGCCCATTCTGGTAGTGCTCTGATTCACCGGAAACCTTGTCTAAGTTACGAGAATTTACTTAAAGATGACAAAATAACAGATCCAATGGAAAGAGAGTGCCGCAGGCAGAGTTTTCGCTGTGCCAGTCCGACACCAGAGTCCAGCCTGTGCCCTGCGCCTGTGCCCTACAGCTTCTCCCTGAGGTGTGGCAGTGCCACCCACTCGGTTCTCAGTTGTGCAAAATCAATTTATCTGTGACCTCAAGAGAACAAAATGTCCTGTCTGGAGTTCTGTCGTGTCAAGGGCCATTTTTTTTTTTTTTACATTTCCTCCCAGAGAAACACAGAGGCAATGTTTGTATGGTGGCCAGGGAAGTTTCTCTACATGACCAAGAAGAACCCAAATGATGCTCCCGTCAACCCCTCCCCAATGAATGCGTGCAAAGTGGGAAGCCAGCGCACAAAACAAACACAGCTGCTACCAAAGGGAGGCAAGCTTTCCTTTTATTCAGGTGTTCAGAATGAACTGGTATGATGTCATTTTAAATAAACCCAGTGACAGTCCTTACACTGAGCTTTTGAGCATGAGGGAAAGTACTCGGCCAAGTTCAGTGCCCAAGCCCCCTTAGATAGTCATGTGCTTACCCCCCCCCCACCGTGGTCAAAGAGTGCATCCCTGCAGCTGCAGAGAACATGGATATGAACGTGAGGGTGGAGGGCACTCCCTAGCCAGCGCGCCTCAACGTGCCCTATAAACCACAAGACGGCTTCAGGCTGGAGTGATGTGCCCAAAGCCAGGCTCCTTGATGCTGGGGATGTCATTCTTCCTGTAGAAGTCGGTCTGCACGTGGTTCACACGGCCGTAGTCTCTGTTCAGGGGCTCGATGGGCTGATTGATACGTTTCCCGTACACAGAGGACATCAGCACGGGCACCGTCCTTTCCTGTTCCTGGGAAGAAGAAATATGCAGTCACTATCCTGAGCACAGAAACCTTCCTGCCCACAGTACATCAGCACAGTGGCCCATCCTTTGGCTGCGTCTCACCCAGGTGACATCTCGGTGATTCCTGCATGCCTGCAGCGGCAAAGCCAGGGACCCTAGTCCCTCTACCGTCATCTGCTATCCATGGGCAACATGACACCCTGAACTAGATGTCAGTTGTGGTCTGATTTCAGGTGCTGTCCCTCCTCCTTCTATCCCCTCCCCACCCTCTCCCAGCCCACCCCCTACCAGCCCCTCTTTGCCCCAGCACAGAGAGCAGCAGCCTTGAGTTTCCAGCTCTCTTCTTCCCACTGGCCCCGCTTGGCCGGTTTGCTGCCAAAGAGCTCCAACCACTCAAGTCTCCGGGGGGGGGGGGGTCACAAGGAGTCTTTCCTGACTCCTCCTCTCCCCAGAACCTCCTCATCCCCCTTCACTGTCGCTATGGGCTTTCTGTGCCTGCTGCCCATCAATGTGGAACCAGGTTGTTTCTTTGCTGCTTGCTCCTTTCTTTGCCAGAACTCAGCTCTGAGAGGACGGGGGCTTGCTTCTTAGTCATGAAGCATGTCTGTGATGACACGGTGCCTTTGTCATTTAACTCCAGCCCAAATTAAGAGAATAAAGAGCGGCGTGGTGGCAGGAGCCGCTGGCCTCACACATGCGAAATGAGCATTCGGCTCTTCTACCACATCGGCAGACTTGGCCATCTGAGTGACAGCCACGGGGGAAGCGTCCAGTGACTCAATAGAAATCCCACCGGAAGCTTGGGTATCATAATGTCCATGTCATGCGCTGTCTAATCGTCTCTGAGTACTCAGCCCGACTGTTAAAAAGCCTGCCACCCTCATTCGGAACTGACAATCATGTCAAAAGGCAGACATGTCTGACGCAGACCAGGAGAGGCCCAGCCTGGCCCAGGGGAGGAAGCGCCTGCAGCACCTGTCCTCTTGATGTGACCGTGACAGAGGAGCCACCTCCCTCTGTAGCTGGTTCCAGATAATTCCTCCCTTTGGGGAACATGGGGGACATCAAAGCAAAGCATCCCACATGCTGGAGACTTGAGGAAAATAGAGATCAGTGAAGCTGTGGTAGCCGGGGCTCAGTGTGTAAGTGAGCAAGGACTCCTATCTGTTGGATAAAAAGCACTTCCTAGTTTTATTCTGCATAAGTTGTTCAGTTCCCTGGAACCAATCAGAAAAACTTAATGTGAGACTGGCATCACAGAGGATTTTAACTTTTCAGCACAGCAGAATAGATGCAAGCCACATAAATAAAGCTACACACAGCAATGGAACACATTGTCAAATGTTTGCATATGGCCACATATGCATGCACAACCCTGTATATCCACACAAACATAAACACACATGTTCATACATGTGCATAAACAATGTGCAAGTGTGTATTTGCATAGATATCTGTGTGTGAAAATGTGTGCACAGGAACACACACATATATATTCACATTTAATATAGACACATGTATGCACAAGATCACATACACATAAGACAAGCATGTGTCCCAAACACACATGTATGTGCATATATGCACATATTCACACTGTATGTGAGTACATGTTTATGCACGGGTACACACACATGCACATAGTTCTGTTGGTTTATTAGCATCATTAGTATATCTTACCTCCTCATTAATATGAAGTCCCAGGTTTTTGGCATGTTCTCTATCATCTCGATGTAATTTCTGGTTATAATCTAGTCTCCTCTTAAAAACACAGTCGTAGAGGGAGATGACTCCTGTCTGGGAATAAGCAGAGATGGTCACAGTGTGCTGGAAGGCTGAGCCACTGGTATCTGATACAGCTCTGAAACCAGCACTCAGTGGGGACCAGAGGGTGCAGACTTTCTGTCTGTGTGAGTAAGCACTGGGGAGGGTCAGCACATGGCAGACTGGGCTGTGACCTGGAGCAGAGAGGAGCTCAGGCCCCTCCAGCAAGAGCAATGCTGTGAGGATGGAGTCTGAGTGTGGGGAGGGAGGTCCACAGCACCTCTCCTTTGCCCCCACAGTGTTCCTCCTCGAGACATTCCTCAGGGGCTGTCCCTGTTGACGCTTCTGCAGGAGCTCAAACCTAAGTCCATTTCATTGCTGTGTGAGAATTATGTCGACTGAGAGGTTCATAAAATGTGTTTTTCAGTTTAGAGACTGGGGGTTCAAGGTCAAGGTGGGCAGATTCACCCCCTGGGGATGGTCGTTTTCTGCTTCTCACAGGGCCCCTTCTCTGCATCACAAGGAAGAAAGAGCACACAGGGTCGCTTAGGCCTCTTTGATGGAAGCACAAAACCCATTCATGAGGGCCCTGCCCTCAAGACCTGATCTCCCAAAGACACACCTACTGACCACATGTCTGATGATTATGCTTCTTGCATGGGATGTAAATACTCAGACCAAGCCAGAGTAAATCTTCTCCATCTATCTGAATAAGGAGGTGTGTTGACCGAGGTTTCCCACCCGGTCCCACAGTCGTACAGTCCCAAAGAAAAGAAACACACAGAGGTCTACATTAATCATAAACTAATTGGCCCATTAGCTCAGGCTCCTTATTAACTCTTTCTTACATCTTATATTAGCCCATCATTCATGTCTGTGTTAGTCACGTGGCTTGGTACCTTTCATCAGTGAGGCAGACATGTCTTGCTTCCTCTCTGTTTGGGTGATGACTCTTCCCAGAATTTTCCTGTTCTCATTGCCCTGCCTCTACTTCCTGCCTGGTCGCCCCACCTATACTTTCTGCCTGGCTACTGACCAATCAGCGTTTTTTTAAAAATAATACAAGTGACAACATAAAAGACTATTGTCCCACAACAGAGGTGTGTGTGTATGTGTGTGTTTGTGCATGTGTGTACGTGCATGTGTGTATATGTGTGCAGTAATAGGGGTGGCGGGGTTGCGTTCCCAGCACCCCGGCCACCTGCCCGGCTAGCTTATGCCCGAAATAACAACACACAAACTGTATTCATTTAATCACTGCTTGGCCCTTTAGCCCTAGCCCTTACTGGCTAATTCTGATATCCCGATCAACCCATCTCTAATAATCTGTGAGCACCGGTCTTACCGGGAAGATTCTAGGTCCATCCTGGGTCGGAGCTGAATCGCGTCTGTCCGGGAGAGCAGAGCATGGCGTCTCTCTCTCTAAGGCGTCTGCTCCCGAGAGGAGAGCTGTGGAGTCTGAGCTCACTTCCTCTTCCTCCCAGCGTTCTGTTCTGTTTACTCCTCCCACCTATCTTCTAACCAATGAGGGCCAAGCAGTTTCTTTTTATTTAACCAATGACCTTCCTCCATCATATGTGTTTGTGTATGTGTGTAAGCATGTGTGTACATGCATGTGTGTGTATGTGTGTTTCCTTCATTTCTACTTTTCTTATTTCTCAGAGTGTCTAATACAACTTTATTCTGCTATAAAAGGTCATCATAACTAAAAAGGAATTACACTTCAAGCTGCTGGCCAATGGAGAAACAGTCTATATGTAAACCTCCCCTCTTGAGAGACAAAATTACTTTTCTTCAATCCCATGTATAGCTATAGCACTTGGTAACTGACATTCATGGATACATGTAATATGTCTGCATATATAATGTAAACATGCAATAGATATATATAGATATAGATATATATATACACATACAGCTTAGATGTTCTGGGAGATGACTTGTTATTACGCTGATTTTCTACATATCTCTGACTTTCTTCTTCAAGTTTTTCTTAGTTAATCTGCTTGTGTGGTAAAATAAATAATTCATGGGTTAGATGGTATGTAATCTTCACCTCACATCAGTCTTGGGTTGGTTGCCCTGATTCCTTTGGCAACAAAGCCAGACTTGGCTTCTCCTTGGGATTTGACCTGAGCACCAGCTGTCTCACACACACTGTGGTGGTTTGGTTTGGGTGTGCGTTTGTTGGTTTGCTCCTGATAATGATGTTAGGATAATTTCCTCTGTGGGATAGTGGAAAAAGAGGATTCACACACACGTTGAATGGCCTGGGAAACGCCGTGACCCTGTTTACAGAGCGCAGGAACCCAGGGATGCCGGCAGTGATGGGAAGGGCTGGCAATGCAGCTTCCAGCAATCAGGACATTCATGGATCATACGTAGGTAGATTTCAGGAGACAGCTCACACCTGGCAGTGCCCTGATGTGACCACCATCCAGTGAGGGAAACAATGTGGTTTTTAAGAATCGCTGTTCCAAGATTTGTAAGACTTTTGCCAGTAGTCTGATGTGCAGGGAGCTTTCACCCACTGGCAGAATCCTCCTGACTAAACTCAGAGACAGTCGTGTCTCTCACTGGAGGCTGTGACTTCTGTCTGCATGGCTGCTGGTCATTAGTGAGTCTCTGCCAACCACCTGGGTGTGTGTCTCCTGAAAGAAACACATATCTGGGAAAGAGTTCCTTAAAGACTCACTCCATGGAGAATTGATGAATTATCAGCATTTAGTGCCATAAAATTGGCTAGTGCCTTGTGTCTTCACATCACATTGCAGACAAAAGTAAATTCTAGATGAAATAGGAAAATAAGAGAAAGAAAACCCATAAGGGGCCTCCTACACAGAAAAGCAATAAGGAAAATGTCACAAAGAAAACATCAATCACTTTGACTCTATAAAATTAGATATTTGCTTATCAAATCAATCTCGGTTTCTTTAAAAACCCATTTTAAGGCCTGACAGGGAAACTTCAGAGTCTTGAACACTCTGGGCAGATCTGTCACTGCAGAAGCTCACAGGCAAAGCAAAGATTTCTGGGAGAAACAGCGAGGGCCCTTCGGTAGGACAGAGGAAGTCAAACACCATGCTCCCCCGCTCGGTCCCGGCCAAGATGCAGGACTTTCGAGGCACAAAGCTATTGGCCAAGCCTAGGTGAGGCTTGCAGCAAAACAAGAATAAAATGACCTGAGAGCCCATCACACTGTGCTAGTCTCACGTACACAGAACATGTTTTAATTTGGTTATTATTTGTGTGTATGTGTGCGTGAGTGGTGTAGGAGGTTCTTCTGTTCATGATTGCTTTCATTGGTTAATGAATAAAGAAACTGCTTTGAGCTTGATAGGGCAGAACTTAGGTAGGCGGAGAAGACAGGACTGAATTCTGGGAGGAAGAAAACAGAGAGAGAGAGAGAGCTGCCATGGAGCTGCCAGAGACAGACATGCCGAATCTTTCCCATATTACGCCACTGCTACGTGGTGATACACAGATTAATAGAAATGGGTTAAATCAAGATGTAAGAGTTAGCCAATAAGAAGTTAGAGCTAATGGCCAAGCAGTGTTTTAATTAATACAGTTTCTGTGTGGTTATTTTGGGTGTAAGCTAGCCCGGCAGCCGAGACAAACAAAGGACCCTCTCCCTGCAACAGGAGTGAAGCCAGATATGTAATGGTAGCTACAGAGGCCAGCAGAGGGCTCTGGATCCCCTGGAGTTGGAGCTACTCAGCTGTGAGCCATCTGATGTGGGTGGAGAAACTTAAATTCAGGTCCCTTGGAAGGAAGAGCAACAAGGACTTTGGACTGCTGAGCCGTCTCTTGTGGTGACTTCAGCCATCAATGGTAGTCAGGCTGCTCGCTGCTTCTGTGGCTTCCCTGGAAGCTCTCCTCCACTGCTAACACCGTGCTGTCTGTAGGTTGAGAGAGCAGCCACAGTGATCAAGTAGTTTCCTTCTGCACTCTGAAAACCATATATAAAAGTGGGAGTAAATGGTGCCCCCCATGCCATGTCCGACAGTGCTCCCACTGGGTAACTAGCTGCTCAGGTGAGGGGAACCTGCATGGGAAGAGGGCAGCACCAACAGGAAGGGAACAGTTGCTGAGATCAGCCGGGGCTGGATGTACTTTTTTGCCCATGCCTTGCTTAAACATGGTACCACCACGTGCTACTTGTGATGTCTGATATCCGACTCTCTGTTTACCTCCTGTGCCCCCAACTCCTGACACAGAGCAGTCTCCGGCCAGTTGTGTGTGTGGATGTTACCTGTGCAGTGGGGTCTTGTGTCTTCCTCTCCCATCATGGGTTAGGTCTACTCCTTCTGTATCGTGGGAATGGGTCCAGGTTGGGAGATTTGATATCGATCGCTAGGTTTTAAGGGGTGAGACTTGATCTGAATATAGCATAAGAGATGGTACCTTCTGAGATGATTGACATTAGGTGGGGTTGTCAGGGCAGTCTGGTGGCTATATTCTGAGTGAAGCCAAGGAAGTACATGTGTGCACACTCCTGGCCTCTCAGTGTGGCTTGCACTACCACAAGAAATGTGCACACTCCCAGACTGACAGCGTGTCCTGCACGGATCCTGGACATTCAGCCAATGAGACCACTAGCACATGTGGTTTCTGGAAAGCTCAGAACTGCGCCCTAAATAAACATTTTCTTTATAAGACACACAGTCTCAGGTATTTTGTTGTAGTGGTGGAAAATTCGTTTAAAATAACTGAAGGTGCCATTTTAGTGTCCAGGAGAGAAACTTGAGGACCTTACTTTAAATGAGACTATAGTCTGAGCATGGGAACAGACCGCCACACTAAAATATATAAAATAAAATAAATACTAAAATTTTCCAAATAAATTTAGGGGACATGAGAAAGCAGAGTGGCACAGAGGAAGGATGGTAAATTCTCGTTCGCTCTCAGCTCATGGGCAAACCTGGGCATCACAGGTGGTCCCACAGCAGTGCCGCAGCCAGAGCTCTGCAGAGCAGCCTCTCAGGTTCTGTGGACCGAGCTGTGTCATCCAGAAATTCACATGCTGATGT